TTTATTTGAATTCTTGATTTATATAGGTGTATAATGAGAGGACACATCTTATGGTAGCTTTGGGAGGCATTTGGAAAAGTATGACAACTAATAGATAGCTCACAACTACTATGAAAGCTTTGTGGAGATCAAATGGAAGCTCACTTTAGCTGGATGAGCTATCATGGAGCTAAACTCAGCTGAGGAAGCCTTTTGGACTAAAGTTACTAAAAGAGAAGTAAAGGTAGTTGGATGTAGTTGGGAGAGTAGTTGAGGAGCTGAGAAGACCATAGCTAGCTAGCTTGAGATCATCAAGCTATAGCTCACATAGTTAGCTAACAAAACACTCACCTAGATTACCTTGAAGCTAGCTTACCTCTAGGCTTCCCATGGACTTCAATGCATTATCTTATGACCGAGGTAACACCTTAAGGCCCATGGAGACTCCATCTGCATTCCATATGTATCACCAGTCGTATGTCTTGCATGTGCACTCACTTAGGCTCTAAAATGAAGAGGAATCTCACAAGCATTATTCGAACAAGACAACTCCCTTCACCATTGGCCAAACCATCACCATTATTTAATTATGTTGTATCTAATTAAATTATGTCTTTTTGTAAAGGATTTATTATGGTTGAATACCTATGTATCTCTTGGCCTAAGTTTCCTTTCACAAACTATAAATAGGCTTGTCTATTTCACTTGTAATCCAACTTTTTTTTCATCATTATATTCAAGTGAGAATTATTCTCTTTACCTTAGTCTTTTGAAGAATTTGTCAACTTATTAAGTGGCAACACTTGTGGCATCAACCCTTCTACTCTTTCCATTAATACTTGAGATTCTTATCTCTTTATAGATAATGGGTCCAAGTCCTTGTTTACCATCCCTTGATTAGATTTATAAGGATGAGTCTTTGCTCTCTATAGCATTGGTTCTTCCTTAATCTAATTAAGATACTTTCAAAACCATAACCATCTTTCTTTCATAAGCCCATAACCATCCAAACCAGCTTAATCATTCTTCCACTAACTATTATCATTATAGCCCTCCCTTTACACCTTACTTTTACATACCTTAACCATATTTTCGTAGCCTTCACTTGTTGTAGGTGCTTCCTTCCTTCATAGGTCCTACAATCAAGTTGTCACCGTTCTCTGAGTTCATAAAGGCGTGCCCCAACCTATATAAAATATTTTTGCCTATTTAATAATCCTTATCATAGAATTTCTAACACTATGAGCCAAAAGAGAAATCAACTCATTTTGAATTTAAAAACCAATGTAGTGATAATGAATTTCTCGACTTTGGATATGTCTAACATGATCTTGCATTATTAAATCAAATTCATCTATCATTTTAATTAAACTAAAAAAATTATCATTTCAATTATCATAAAGTTTTTCACTAGATCCATGAAAAGCTAAATTACTTTTAGTAAGACATTTAACAACTGATATTATTCTTATTAAAGCTTATCTCTAACGATCCTTTTCTTTTGAAATTCTTTCTTACAAATTTTTATCAATACCTTTATTATTTTCTAATTTTATTCTTGTTTCATTCCAAGTATCCATATTAGGCATATGCTCAACATTATTCTCATGTTGTTTGAGCCCCTCGCTCAAATGCTTCTAATCATCCATCCCATCGTTTTCTAAAAAGGTTTTGCTCTTTTGAGAAATGAACAATTTACAATAAAAATAATATACTTTATTAACATGTCTAAAGTAAACCAACCATTTTCTAATAAGAGTTTCTCTGCTGCTCAATTTTCTAGAAAAATATAAATAAGAAAAGTATCTAGGAAAATTGTTCATAGGTAATATGAGATTCAATTATCTGATGAGTCCCTTTTCAATCAAAATATCTCTAGTTTTAGTATTAAAAACATCCAGATTTCTAGGATCATATATATCAAAAAGAGAGATTATGTGCGCATCAACGCCAATATCAATATTTAACCCATCAAGTACATTATTTTAAATTAGTAATATCGTAATGGAGGAGAATATCATCATTCAAATTTTTATCATTCAATTTTTTTATTAAAATGTTCAATATTATTTTCATCTTCATCTTCCCATCCAAAGACTCTTCTACTCGTTTTGGAATTTTTTTTTATCTAAAGCTCCATTTTGTGATTGTACTCATTCTTGTGTTCTTTTTCTTTTTGTTTTCCTTTTTCATTACCGGACGCATGTTTTTGTGACAACGTTATTTTATAAAAATATAAAGCAAAAAATATAGAATGGTAACACACTATCACATCCATTATCATAATTAATAAAAGAAAACAATCAAGAAAATATAATTGATAACTACAAATTACAAACATACAAAAGTTCAGAATGTACATAAATAAAATCAATGCACAACCATATATTCATAAATATATATTTACTTTAGTTTGAGGTGATCTTTGATCTTTGTATCTTGATGGATGAATAACACAAAACAATGACAACTTTATATAAATTCATAAAATAATTTTTTTTATTGAAATTTCACTTTCAAATTCTAATATGAGAAATACCAAAAGAGAAATACAACCTTTAAAAAATATAATCTAAATAGAAGAATGACATTTTTAACATAATACTCACTATATATACATGTACAAAGACCAAAAGAATAAAAAGAGCTGTTGAACATTCTTCGATTACACCAAAAAGAATGTACAAGGAAGCCAGGAAAATAATTACTAATAATGACTCTTTTACATAAAATATTAATTATATTATACTAACAGAACTCTTTATTTTCAGATTATATGTATTTAGATTGGTTTAGTTTTTCCATTTAGTTTTACTCTTTGAGGTTTTATGCTGGTGAGATGTTTCTAGACGTTATTTGTTTTGTTTTGTTTTAATACAAGACTTGTGACTGATGTTTCAAATTAAAAAATAATTATATTATAATAAAAAATTAACTTTTTGGTTGGGGGCTCTAGGCAGATGTCATTAGTTATGTTGTAACAGATTTTTTTTTTAAACTTCTTCATTAGGGACACTGAGCTGGTGCCCCATATGTCCATGGCCCAACTGTGGCTCTGGATTGATCAGCTGAAACTCTTAATTAATTTCCTTCCATTAAGTTTTTCAGATCCAATATTCGAACCCCACAGATCCTCGACAACTAAATCAATCAAAACAAATTGATTTTAGAGAAGAGAACAAGAAAAATCAACAAAACAATAAGAGGACAAAAGAAATCGCAAAGAAAGATCAAAATCGATAATATTGGGTCAAAAGAAGGAAGAAAATTAAGGATAGACTGAAAAACTCCCAAAAGATATGCTAGAAAGCGTCAGATCATCCAAGCATTTTATCAAATAGTTTCAAAACAGTAGCTTTCATTCCATTTAATTATAAGAAAGAGTTCAATGGCAAATACGGGTTAGACGACCATTCTCTGATTATGAAATCTCTAGATTCTTATAAACGGTCTTGGTTGTGGAAGAACATCTTGAAACCTCTATCTTTGGAAGATGATTATTTCAAGAAAAATATCAAAGTTTCTGTTGGGGACGGTAATTCGGTTAACTTTTGGGAAGACTTCTGAAGTGTCTTGCCTTAGAGTGGCTTTCCCAAGGATTTTCGGAGTGGCGATTAAAAAGGTTGGGAAAGTGTCGGATTTTGGTTATAAGTCAAATGGGGTTTGGTCTTGGAACATTGAAGTTAGGAGAGTTTTGTTCGATTGGGAACTTAGCATATGGGATGATTTCATGAACATTCTCAACAAAGCTGTGCATGGTAACCTAGCCTCGGATAGGTTGTGCTGGCTGGGTTCATCGAATGGTTTATATTTACCACGAGAGTTCAGTTGTTGAGGGTAAGGGGGCTGTTAAGGATAAATTCTAAAATTTGGTTTGGGCAAATCTTGCTCCCCCAAAGGTCGAGGCTTTCATTTGGAGAGCGGCTTTATAATGAATTCCGGTTCTAGAGGAGTTAGCTAAACGGGGTATGGTAGACTCAAGACTCTTGTCTTTTTGTTTTTTGCCCAAAGGAGCCTGAGTCAACGAGCTAAACAGGGTGTGGTAGACTCAGACTCTTGTCTTTTTGTTTTTTTGCCTAAAGGAGCTTGAGTCAACTGACCATCTGCTGTGTCATTGTGAGGTGGTTTAGAGCGTGTGGCAAAGATGGGCTGCTTGCTGGAATTTTCAGCTTATTTGTCCTGGTGATTTTAAAGCTTTTCTCTTTTCATGGAACGGCCAACAGGTTTCGAGGTCTAGTAAACAGGTCTGGAATGTTGCTTTCTTTGGTTTTGTTATGTGTATTCCTGTTGGTAGTGTGGGTTTTATCAGGTTGTAGGACATGGAGTTTGGTCCCTATGGTTATTTCTCGTGGAGTTTGGTTCGAGTTTTGCTGGGACAGATTTTCTTTCGACTTTTGTGCTATTATTTCGACAAAGATGTGGTGCACTCTTTTTTTCTATTTAAATTTGAAGAGATTTTTTAACGATGCTTATATTTTCAACTCTAATACGATACAAATCTTCCCTTTCAAAAGAAAAAAAAAGAGTTCAATGGCGAAGTTGATAGCGGTATTTGTAGTCAAAAGCAAAAGTTCAAGATATTTTGTTCACAACATTGCAAGCTCTAAATCAATCTTTAATAATTAATTCTTTATACAATAGATTTTAATAATTTACTTAAATTACATATTTAGTCTCTCCCCTATTCATGTAGTTCTATTTTGATCACTCAATTATTTTTCCTTCAAATCATACTTAACGTTACGTTTTAGTTCTGTTTTGATCACATGTCATTAAAATGATGTCAATGTATCACCATAAGATAATGTCACATTATCTTTTAAAAAAATAAAATAAAAATTATCACGTCAATAATTCTATTTATCTTCTAATGACAAGTGACCAAAATAGAATAAAAATAAGGTATGATTTAAAAAAACAATTAGGTGACCAAAACATAATCGCAAAAGATGACTAAATACGTGATTTAACCAAATAATTAAGATAGAAAACAATAAGATTGAAGCAATTCAAAGAATGGATTTTCTTTCCAATACAAAAGAAAACATTACAAGTTGGAACATAAGATTAATGTCCAATCTAAACCAATAGGCAAGACATTCACGTTGAGCCAAACTTCAAGTGACATCAATGGCTTTAATTCCCCTCTTACTACAACACCACCATGAAACAAATTGCTTACAAGCATGACAACTTCATTTGAGAACAAACTTAATATAACAGAGAACTAATTGCATACTGATCTTTTTCTTTTCAACAACTATCTTGACACATTAAGCCTAAGTTAAAACAAAATCAACACAATTTTTCATGCAATTTGGGTAGCAGTAGCCAACTTGGCTCTCAGATCTTTTCTCAAAATCTTCCCTGAAGGAGACTTGGGAATTGCATGAACAAAGTGCACCTTATGCAACCTCTTGTAGAAAACCACCTGTTTTTCACAACAAAAAGGATTATATTCTCATTAAATGAAACCCAATTTTGATTTCTTCATATATATACAGACCTGTTTAGCAATGAATTCTTTGACAGCATCTTCGGTGAGCTCAAAACCATTGGACCGAACCACAAATGCAACAGGAACTTCACCAGCAACTTCATCTTTTTGCCTGTTAAAAGATCATTAGATATGGATACTCACACACTGATATTGAAGGTTAAATTATGAAAATAATACTCTTTTATTATTTTTTATCAAAATAGCACCTAAAATATTTTATTTCTCAGAGTGACCAATTTTTGTCATATACAACGAAGGTGCGCCTATGTAACAACACCTTCCGAAAGGTTCTTCCTCAAGATTCTTCCTCGAAGAAGCTTCTTTACTTACGTGGTAGGTCACATGGAGTATGAAAATAATTTATATTTTGCATGTGACATGTCACATAAGTGGAGATTCCATAAAGAAGAACCTAGAGTATGAACTAATCGTTAAGGAAATACATTTAAAGGTTCTTTCTCAAAGAAGCGTCTTTATTTATTTTATAGGTCACATGAAGTATGAACATAATTTATATTTTGACGTGACATTCCACAAGAAAAAACACTTTCTTGAGGAAGAGCTTTTCAAAAGGCGTTGTCACGTAGATATGTCTTTCATCTTATGTGACAGAAATAGGTGCCATTCTGATAAATAAAGATGAAAACTTGAACAAAAATGAAAAAGGTGCATACGGAACGACAGCTGCATCTGCAACACAAGGATGGCATACAAGGAGGGACTCAAGCTCAGCCGGTGGCACCTAAAACAAAACCCAACTTATTCAAATGTTGCTTTAAACCCATAAATGATGAAAAAAAGAGACATTAGGCATACTTGAAAGCCTTTGAATTTGATGATTTCCTTGACTCTATCCACTATGAAAATCTCATCATCGTCGTCCACATAGCCTATATCACCCGTATGAAGCCAACCCTCGACATCAATGGTGGCAGCAGTGGCCACACTATCATTCAAATAACATTTCATGATTTGGGATCCACGAATGCAAATCTCGCCCGGTTGATTGTACCCAAGGGAGCAGCCGGTTTCCGGGTCAATCACCTTAAGCTCTGCATTCCTAACGACCGTTCCACATGAACCTGACTTGGTTGGAAAGGGTTGTTTAGCAAACCCTAGGCACATTGATAGCACTGGTCCAGCCTCTGTCATTCCATAGCCCTATATTTTAAGGGAAATATAAATCACTTCAATCAATTAAAAAATGCTTATAATGATGCAGTGAATGGCAGGGGTGTTAAATAGGTTCGATTAATTGATCGAATCGAATTTCTAAAATTTTATTGACTGTATTTTTTCCCTTTAACCGTTAATTGAATTAATTTTTTTCAAAAATAATTAACCGAACCAAATAAATTTTTATTAATCAATTGATTAACTGAATTAACCGAAATTTATAAATAATATATATTATATATTAAATATTTTATATTTTCAATTTATTCGGTTAAAACCGAAGTTTAAACAATCTTAAGGCTAAGTAATATAAAAAATATATTAAATATTTAATAATTTTGGTTAATTCCGTTAACCGATCGATTTCAAACCGAATTAACTGATAACTGAAGTTTGAAAAAATCATTAATCGTTAATCGACCGAACTTAAAATTAACCAACCAATTAACCGAAAAAACTTCGATTCAGTCAGTTAATTTGGTTTTAACTGAAGTTAGTGAATGCAGGAATGGACAAGGGCGGAACTAGGATAAAATCATGGGAGAGGCCAAGTTGCTTATTTTTTACACTAACAAGGTTCTAAAAGGTAATTAAATCACAAAAAATAGAGGATTCAAGCTTAATTTTACTAATTTCAAAATTGTCATGTCCTAAAAATAATTAAACCAAAAAAGTTAGAGGCAAAACTTAAGTTAACTTTAAAATTGATAGCCTTAAAAAAATAATTAAACCAAAAAATTTTAGGGATTCAAAAATTAAATTTAATAGTTTTAAAAGTTTTAAGGGTTTAAAATACAATTAAACCAAAAAAAGTTGAAGTGGGTCATGTCCCCCCACGAGGTTCTGCCTTTGAGAACGAACGTCAAATTTTATATTAAAAGGGTGAACTTCTAAAATTTTAAAAAATAAAAAAAAAGTATCAATAAAAAAATATATATTAAAAATATTAAATATATGATAATTTTAAATTTTAATAAATCACTTTATCTATCCGTTCCCACCGTTCCCATGAGTGGACATGAATATCCTCTCGAAAATGGAAAAATGGGTGTTCATGTTATTATTAAAGTAATTTCAACAGAATAATATGCATATTTTAATATTTATGTGTTTCAGATCTAACCAAAGATTCTTACAGAAGTTTGAGTTGTGTTCTGTGTGTGACAGAATTTTGGAATACGTGGATGGCTCCAAATTCATTTATCTTTGTTAGTTAGTGCCCAAAATTAATTATTATTTTTTGTACACTTTTAAAATGAAAAATATTACATTAAACCTACTCAAATTTATGTGTTATTGAATGTAATAATAATAATATGTTTAAATTAAATCGTCTAAAGTTAGGTTATTTATATTCTAAAGATAGGTTAATCAGGTTATTTTTAACATATATTTAAGGTTTAATATAAAATTTTAAATTATATCTCTTTTTCTATTTAAGTATCTAATTTTTTTCAGTTAATGTAAGTATTAATGTTATAAACATTGCAATTTTAAGTGTCTACGTCATAACAACTATTAAAAATCAACCAATCAATTGATATTTGACATGTGACCTAATCTTTATTTCTTTTCTTTTAATATTTTTAAAATTAAAATTCACATTTTTTTAAAAATCCTTAAATTTTTTATTATTCATAAAATACCACAAGACTTTCACCTATATAATCGATCACTATCACTGTCGAAGATCACTCACTCATCTATCGATCACTCACCCCATGATCACTCGCCCGCCAACCACTTATCTACTGATTGAGATAGATGTGTGTTGAAATTTAGGGATTTGAGAGATTGAAATTACGGGTGACGGCCGAAGATGGGTGGGTAGGCAACAACGAGTGACGTTGATTTTCGGGATTAAAAATTTTGAGACTTTTTTTTGAGACATTAAAAATATTTTAGATTTTTTTAAAATAACAATAATTTTATTTTTCAAGAATAATTTTTTAAAGTTTTATAAATGTGTAATATGTCGTTCATAATATTTTTAACCACAATTACAATGCATGCATTTAAAATGATAATAGTTATAACGTTATAAACTTAAATAGAAAAATATATAATTTAATTGTTTTTGTGTTAATCATATATTTAATTAGCTTCATTAAATTTATGATGAGAAAAGGCACTGGAGCAGTATATGGTTACGAATATGACATCATAATTTAGGCCTATTTAGTTGAAAATCATTTAAGATTTAGTTGGGCCGCACTTTCTAGTAAGACCGACTATCAATAAATTTTCTAGTACATTAAATTTTATATAGTTTCATAATATGTTACAAAATTATAAATATATAAAATTAAGAAATATTAGTTTTTTCGTACTATATTTAATTTCCAGAACCACAGGATCTAAGCCATCAATATTATCATTAATTACGTAGGCCCTAAAACAGTTCACCTGGTCCTTATTATATTAATATTTTATTTTTATAAAAATAAAACTACCTTCAATTTAAGAGAACCAATTTAATTCCCCAAATATCATGTATTATTATTTTTTTAAATAGCCAAAATCATGTATTAAAAATAGGAAAATAAAGTCTGTTTTTCCCTTCACCACTTTCTTTTTGATTGTTTAATTATAAAAAAGTAGCCTTTAACGCCTCCTAAATTATCAAAATCCCCCTTGCCAACCCTACAAAAGTTTCCTTTTAGTTGGTTATTTATAGTTTTATTAAAGGGTAACCTACAAAAATGGTCACCGACAATACAATATTGTTTTGTTAAGTCTAATGATTATTAAAAATTACAAAATGATTATTTAATTATTCATATTTCCCAAAATCGTTTTTTTTTCATTAAAAGAATTGACGACAATCTAAACTATATGTTAACCTACTATGTTAAAATCTAATATCAAAATCTCAAATGATCTTAATTAACATTTTAAGATCCAGCTCAGATTGTCATCAACTTTTTTAATGAAAAATGACGAATTTAAAACATATAAATAATCTAGTGATCATTTTATAACTCTTAATATTCTCAAGATTCAATACAACAATTTTTTATAATCGATGATCATTTTATAGCTTTTAATAGTTATAAAACCACTAGTATATTTTACGTTTAATTAAATTAGTGCAACTCTTTTATTAAATATCATATCAACTTCGAAAATATAAAAAAATCAAGTTTTTGTAGTTTTCTTTTAAAAAATATTATCATAATCTGACTCTTTTAATTAATGTAGAAATACCTTGAACTTTATAATATTTCCAATTGACGCATTATATTAATATTATATAAATAGAAACTGAACTTATAAAAAAAAATTAAAAATATTTTAAGTACTTAAGGAGGAATAAAATAATGGAAAGAAGATTTGATAATTACTCTCATTTTGCATGAATTTCAGTTAAGAAATGCATTAATGGAAAAATAAATAAATAAATAAATAAACTGACCTGTCCCAAAACGGCCTGAGGAAGTCTTTGCCGGAGAGCCTCTTCCAGCTCTTTCCCGAGCGGAGCAGCGCCTGAAAGCACCACCCTTATTGAGCTCAAATCAAACTGCGCCACCACTGGATTCTTAGCTAATGCCAACACCAACGGCGGCACCACCGCGGCCACCGACACTTTATGCCTCTGTATTAGCTCCAACAACGCCCCTATCTCAAACTTGTGCATCAACAGAACCGCGGCTCCAGCCCTCAGGGAACACAAGAGGACGCTGTTGAGGGAGTAAATGTGAAACAGGGGCAAAACACATAATACAACGTCGTCGTGTTTCAGATAAAGGTTCGGATTCTCTCCATCGACTTGCTGAGCGACGCTTGTTATCAAGCTTTTGTGAGTTAAAATGACTCCTTTGGGTAGCCCCGTTGTTCCCGAAGAGAAGGGCAAAGCTACAGGGTCTTCGGGGTGAATGGAAACTTGAGGGATCTCGTTCTCGTTTGCTTCCGATAACACACTGAAATCTAAACAGTTTTCCGGAGGGTCATCGATGGTGATCACCTTGAAATCTTCGCTTATTTTGGGAAACTTTTCGTTGTCATCGACGACGTTGTAGCTATCTCTAAGCTTGTCGACATATTGGGATTGAGTGACGACGAGTTTAGCTCCAGCAGCTTTGAACTGCTTGAAGATCTCTTTGGGTGTGTAAAAAGGGTTAGCCGTGGTCGAAACAGCTCCGATCATGGAAGCTCCCATGAACACAAACACGAATTCAGCAGAGTTTTGAAGGAGAATCATGATGACATCTCCCTTTTGGATGCCTAAACTGGACAAACCAGCAGCTGTCTTCTGTGCAACCAAGTGGGTTTCGTGGAAGGAATAGACTTTGCCAGATGATCCGGAGATCAGACATGGTTTGTCAGAGGAAGAAGAGAGGTTTTGGAAGCAGTAAGTGTGGAGAGGAAGGTGGTTTGAGATGGGTATATCGGGCAACTTAGATCTGAAAACATGATCGGAGGTGGGTTCAGGGGAGAACTGTTGGTCGGGCTTTGGGGTTTCAAGTTCAACGGGGTGATCAGCAATGGAGATCATGGTTTAGAAAGATGATGATGCAGAGAGATAGAGGGAAAGGGAGAGGGTGAAAGGGGAATATAAGGGAAGAGAAATGGGGAGTAGGTAGAGCATATGGGGGAGAGGAAGTCGGTGGGGGAATTAAAAGGCACAGGTATGCCCGTGTCACCTTCAAATCCACACCAGACACCAAGTCCCGGGGCCTGTACCTACCACACTCCCTCTACGTGCCCAATACCCCCACCTCTTACCCTTTTTTCATAAATAAATTTAGGATAAAGTATAAAAGTTATAAAATAGTCTTAGATTATCGGTAGTTATATTGTTGAGTCCTTTAATTATTAAAAGTTACAAAATGATCATTATAGTATTCATTATGTTTTAAAATCGTCATTTTTCGTTAGAAAATTAACGATAGTCTGAGCTGAACGTTACAATATTGATTGAGATATAATAAAATATGATCTTATAATCTCAAATGACTATCATATCTTAGTCAACATGTTAACATCCAACTTAGATAACCGTTAATTTTTCAATAAAAATGATTAGTTTGGAACATAGTGAATAGTTAGCTGATTATTTTGTAATTTTTAATAGTTGAGAGACTCAACAAAGTAACTCCCTATAGTTGGGGGATATTTTATAATTTTTAATAGTAAAAAGATTCGATAAAGTAATATTCTATAATTTGGAGACTATTTGTTTATTTTACCCTAAATTTACATCAAGAGTTAATCCAATTGATTTTTATTTTTTAAATTTATATATGTATAATATTTTTATATATAATTATGAATCTATTGAGTAATAGTTTTCTTTAAAGATCTATTTAGCAATTCCAATGGTAGAAATAGTGTTGTTTTATTTAGAGGTTATAAATTTGAACAAATACGTCTGTAAAATGTATATATATTATTAATAATTAGAAATATTTTTTGAATATATACTATCTTTTAATTATTCTAAACTATTAAAACAATCCTTGAAATTAAAGTAGTGCTAAAAAATTAAAAAATTAATTATCTTAGACTATTAAAAAATACTTAAAATTACAGTAGCGCTGAATAATTAAAAAATTATCAAACTTATGATTTTATTTGTCTAAATATGATTAATTTTACTTTTTTTTAAAAAATAAATATATTTTTTAATAATTATTGGTATTGTAATAATTTATTTATCATTTCATACTATATGATATTTTTATAAAATATTTATAAAAAATTTAATTAATCTGGGATAAGTACAAGACATTATATGTTTAAAGATAATTTTCAACCATTTTAACATTAAACACTCACACTTTTAGTATTCCCGTTATTCGAACCCAAAATTTCAATAAATAATAACAACTCTTTTACCACCAAAGTGACTTAATTTATACAAAATATTTAAAAAATATTATTTGAAGATTTAATATAAGTTCAGTATAACTAAATATAACTTTTATTGTTATAACTATAATGAATTAATTTTACATAAAATACTCTTGTTCGGATATGATAAAGTTATGATAAAGGTTGGGAGAAAATCTGTGTTTCTAATAATTGTTGTTTAATTTCGTTTTTATGCGTAGTAGCGATTGGTTATGAAACTGCCACACCTATGTTGCAGGTTTCTTCTTCAACTTGTGGAACGTATTTATTTTCTTGCATTTGTTGGGTTTTGTTTTGTCATTTTTATGAGTAAATTATGCAGTTAGTACCTAAATTTTCACTTTTGATTTGATTTAGTATTGGAACATTCAATTATTTAAAAATCATACATAACGTTTAGTTTTTATTTCAATTTAATACCCCATCGTTAAAAACTTAACGACAGAACTGACATGGCATGACGTGCTAACGTTTTAATATATTTTAAATTTCCATTTCAACAATCAAATAATAATTTTTATTTAACCAATAAAATGGTGACATATGTCACCTCCTATTAAAATGAAATAATCACATTTTTGCATAGCTTGGGTTTTAAAGCCATACCCTGGTAGGTAGGACTGTAAAATCAGGTAATCGGACAGGTTTCAGTCTGATTCTGGCAGGTCGGGTAAAATCGGGTACAACTCAAGTTAGGTCAATTTGATGGTTTGACTCGGATCAGGTCGGGTACATGTCAAATCAGTTCGGGTTATTTTCAGGTTGATTTGACACCAGATCGAGATCGGGTTCAGGTCGGGTCATTTTCAGTTCGGATCGATGTCAGTTCAGGTCAAAACAGTTTAGGTCCGAAGTAGATAAAGATCAGGTTAATTCAGGTTCAGGTGGACTTCAGTCGGATCTCGTTCAGATCGAGTCACATCATTGACAGATAAAATTCAGGTCGGATGTTTACCGGATACGGATTGAGTTCAGGTCGAGTGGTTTTATTTTTGGATTAATTATTTTCTCATCTTTCGTGATTGTTGAATTGCAAGTTGTAATTGAATATGATTTGGAGTAAATTACAAAAAAATAATCATGGATAAATTTTGTAAAAAATATAAATTTAAGGAAAAATTTAAGAAATATAAAATTTTAAAAAAATTAAAATATAAATTAAACAACACATATATGTAAGGGACCAAATTGAAATAAATTTAAAATGTTAGGTTTAAATTAATATAGAAAAGGACTAAATTATACTCATTTAAAAAGTTATGGGCCAGTTACAAAAATATAAATAACAACTAACAATGGGCCAAATGAAGATACAAATATAAATTTAAGGACTAAATTGAATACATATAAAAATGAAAGACTTAAAATTTAAATAAATTAAAAAACACAAAAGGGTGAAATCGAAATAAATGCAAAATATGAAGAAATAATGAAAAATATAGTAAATTGCATTCATTTAAAGAATTGAAAAAAATTATAATATATCTATATATATAAAGACAAATATATAATATATATAGTTCATATGTTGTTTACATGTATTTTATTAATAAACTGTGTAATATATATATATATATATATATATATATATATAAGATTTATGTATATAGTTTATATATATAGTATATTAAGTACATATATATTACTATATAAATAGTTTACATTAAAATTATATAGTTTATATATAAACTGTAAAATTTATTGATGAACTATGTGTAAACAATATATAAACTATATAAAGTATTAAAATATATAATTTATATTAATATAATATAAGTTTATATATAAACTATATTTATATTATAAACTATATAATTATTATAAGCTATATATATAAATTATGTTTATATGAACTATATATATAAACTATTTATATAAACTATATATGTATAAACTATATATGTATAAATTATATATGTATAAACTATATAGTTTATAAATTATAATTTATATTAATATAGTATGTATATGTATGTATAACTAATATAAGTAATCTATAGATTATATATATATATATAGTTTATAGAAACCTTAGACCTTAAACCCTAAACACTAAACCCTAAATTGTGAAACATAAACCCTAAACTCTAAACTTTATAAACTATATATGTATAGACATAGTTGATAAATCATATAGAGTTTATATAAACAATAGTTCATATAAATTATATATGTAACATTAACCTGTAGTCTATAAACAATAGTTAATATATGTAACCTATAGTATATGTATACATGTAAACTACATATGTAACTTATAGTACATGTATGTATAAACTATGTATAGTATATATAAACTATATATATAACCTATCATATATGTATATATATAATCTATTTATATGTTATATGAACTATATATGTAACATATAGTTTATAAACAATAGTTTATATTATTGTACTATATAGTTTATAACTTATAGTATATTATTTATAAACTATAGTTTATATTAATGTAGTATATAGTTTATATTAATGTTAATTATCTTAACTATAATTTATATTAATATAGTATATAGTTTATAAATTATAATTTGTATTAATGCAGTAGATAGTTTATAAACTATAGTTTACATTAATATTAACATATTAACTATAGTTTATATTAATATAGTATATAGTATTACTATTAACTATAGTCTATAAACCATATACCATATTAATATAAATTATATTAAATATAGTTTATAAATTATACTATATAATTTATAAAATATAGTTTATATTAATATTAATTATATAAACTATATTTTATATTAATATTAATTATATTAATATTAATTATAATATATAATTTATATTAATATTAATTATATAGGGATGAAATTGAAAGAATTTAAAATATAAAGATTAAATTGAATCATTAAAGTTGGACTAAATTGAATAAAATCAAAACAAGGGGATAATAGTACAATGCGAAACGAAGTTAAAAAACACACGGATCTTGAACCCGACCTGAATGGAGCTACTATATAAGGATAAAATTTTTGTTTTTTTCTCATTTTCGGGTTTCCTATTCATTCTTCCATTTTGCTCTCTCTCTCTCTCTATCTTTCTGATTCTTTCGAAATTCTCTGCCTTATCTCTAGAAGTTCATCCGTGTTCTTCATTGTTCTTTGAAAAAACCTTCATTTGATCTTCAAAAACACCAAATCCCAAACATTTTTCTGGTTTTTTGGATCAAACACACAAAATTTCTTAACTTGTTCATCCGAGTTCATACCAAAACCCTCATTTGATCTTCATAAACAACAAAACACATACCATTTCCTTTTTTTCTGATCAAACCCCAAACCCAAGCAGCAATTTATCCTTATTCTTCCCCAAAACCATTCTTTGACAATTCGATCAAACCCAAACCCTAACACTAGTTCATCTTCTGTAACCCAACCTCAACCTCAACCCTAAACCCAAACCCGAACCTACACTCGAACCCAAATCGAACCTAAAAAACCTTAAACGAGCCTCTTTACTTTCTGTATCTTTTCATCTTCTGTAACTGTGACTGTTCTTCATGTTCATCATCTTCTTCCTTCTCTGTTGATATTTGAAACCTTTATTGTTTCAAGGTTTTCATGGGCATTCTTTCTTACGAGTTGAATTATCCAGGTATATTATTTTGTTTTTTATTTTAATATTGTTCATTAATATATTATTCATTTTCGTTGTAGGAGAAAATCCAACAAATTAGAATGAAGAACATTCTGAAAGAGGTAAATG